GCGACCCGCTCCCTGGGCTCTGCCGCAGAGACACCAGCCTTTTCTCTCCTTATTTTATTTTTTTCCCTTTCTTTTCTTTGAATTTTCAGGCTTGAAAAAAAAAATCCCGAAACAGACCCATTTGTTCCCGGTCGGGGCGGGGATGGGGGCCCGTCTCCTCCGGCAGCTTTCGGGAGGCAGCGGGAGGTTGCGCGGGCTGATTCAATAAAAGCGAGATGCGGTTTCGCTATAAAAGGGGAATGCTTTAAACAGCCTTTTTCTTTTTTTCGCTACCGATTTCTATATTTCACAGATCTGAACAAAAGCCGCTCTGAGCTTTTATTTGTTTTTTTTCTTTCTCTCTCTCTCTCTTTTTTTTTTCTCTCTGCGCTTTCCCGCCGCTTCCCTCGCTCCACATTTAAGGATTGCGACGAGCCAACCGCACGTTTTTATTTCATTTTCTCTCCCGGTCGCTAACGGGGCTCAGCGGCCGCGCAGCCAGCGAGGTAAGAGGCGCTTCCGTCGCGGTGCCGCAAGAAGGGCCGAGAACGGGCAAAAAGAAGGGAAAACGGAACAACAACAAAAAAAGGGCATCCCCCCCGGGGGAAGGAGGCCGAGCCCCCCGCGCGGCCGCCGGGCTACCTGCACCCTGGCCTCGGAGAGGCCGAGCCGCTGGCTCAGCTCCTCGCGCATGAAGGCGTCCGGGTAGTGCGTCTCGTCGAAGAGGCGCTCGAGCTCGTTGAGCTGCTCCAGGGTGAAGTTCGTCCGGCTCCGCCGCTGCTTCATCTTCGCCTGCCCTTCCTCCTCCATCGCCTTCGCATCCTCCTTGCGCTCCTTGAGCTCCGCGGGCGCTGCGCACGGAAGGGGCGGTCAGGGGGCTCCGAGCAACCTGTGGAGTTTTGGGGAGGGGGGTCCCACCAAGCTGCTTCTTCTGCCCCTGCCCTTCCTCCTCCATCGCCTTCGCATCCTCCTTTCGCTCCTTGAGCTCCGCGGGCGCTGCGCACGGAAGGGGCGGTCAGGGGGCTCCGAGCGACCCGTGGAGTTTTGGGGAGGGGGGTCCCACCACGTCGGGAACCCCCCCTCCCTTCCCATCCCTCCAGCGGGTGCGCGAGGCCTCTGTCGCGATAGCCGCTTTTTTTTTACGGAATATCGCGGCGGGCAGGACCCAGCGCGCCCCGCTCGGGCTCGGACCCACCCCCAGGCCCAGAGCCCCGCTCCCCG